TGGGTGAATGGATGGATGAATGGATGGATGGGTGGATGGGTGGATGGATGGGTGAGTGGGTGAATGGATGGATGAATGGATGGATGGGTGGATGGATGACTGGATGGATGGGTGAGTGGATGGGTGGATGGGTGGATGGATGAATGGATGGATGGATGGACGGATGATGGGATGAATGGCTGACCATGGATGGATGGACAGCTGGACAGACATGGAAGGACATGGGAAGGGATGGGTAGACAGAGGGATGGGTGAACGGATGGAGGTGGGGACGGGAGGGTGGCTCGGTGGGTGGGTGGGAGACGGCTGTGCTCATGGGGCAGGCGGCCGGCCGGGTGCGGGACAGCCGGACACACAGGCGGCCGCGCGGCTGCTGCGCGCGGGGACGTCACTCCCGGCACGGCTGTCGCCGCGGTGGTGCGGGGCGGTGACGGACACAGCGACCGGGCCCAGTGACCCCGCCGGGGCGGCCCCCGCTGCCATTCCAGGAAGAGGGAAGGGGCGAGGCCCGCGCGGGCAGCGCCCGGATTCCATGGAGATCCCGTGGGGAAGCGGCCGGGGCGGCACGGGGGGGACGCGGGTGGCACCGGTGCTGCCGCCCCGTGGAGCCCGCGGCTGTGGGCGCAGGCACGGCGCGGCCCTGCCACCCGCTCCCGCTGCATCCGCCGCCGCTTCCTGCGGCAGGGAGGCGCCTTCCCGCCGGCACCGCGCGCTTCCGCCCCGGCCCGCGCCCGCAACGGCCGCGCAAGGGACGGGGCCTCCCCAGGGACACAGCGGCCGCCCCGGCTCCCCCGCAAGGCTCGGAGTCGAGGCCTTGGTCCCACTGCTCTTTACTGGCGTTCGCACCCGCACGGGCACCCGCCGGGCAAAGGGGCCGCCTTGGGGCCGGGTGACGGAGCCCGGCTGCTCCGGCGGCTCCCGCTGCGGCTCCTGGATGTCTCCGCCGGCATCTGGGGCTCCCAGACACGGTGGGGACGCGCGGCGCCGGGTTGGCATCGTCCCGTCACGGGCAGCGCTTTGTGCTGTGCTGGGCTGGCACCACTCCGTGCTGTGCCAGGCTGGCATCACTCCATGCTGTGCCAGGCTGGCATCGTCCTGGCACCGGCACCACTCTGTGCTGCGCCGGGCTGGCATCGCTCTAGCTCGCAGGCTGGCAGCAGAGGTCCATCACGGAGGCTCCGCTGGCAAGGCTGCCCCGCTGCAGCCTGCTTGGCGCGGCACGGCGCCCACCAGGAGTTGGGAGGGCACGTGGATCCCAGCCCGGTCCAGCCAGGGAGGGATGTGCGGGAGCGGAGCCTGGGGCAGAGCCAGGCGGGCGCCGGGCTGGGCACCGAGGGCACATGGACAGGGTGGCCCCAGGCCGCCGGCAGGGCCCGTCTCCAGCGCCACGGCGGTGCCGGGGCCGCCGTGCCCGGGGGAAGCGGCTCAGCTGCAGGCGGCCGCGGGCGCCAGGGCGTCGCGGGGCGCCCAGCCCACCGGGGTTCCCGTTGCGGTGCCCGCGGTGCCGTCGTGGGTGCGCTCGTGGCGCACGAGGTGGCTCCTCCTGCTGAAGCGGCGCCCGCAGCGGGCGCAGCCGTGGGGCCGGTGGCCGGTGTGCACGGCCTGGTGGCGCGCCAGGTTGGTCTTGGAGCTGAAGCGGAGGGCGCAGCGGGCGCAGGCGTGCGGGCGCGCGCCCGTGTGCACCGCCTGGTGCCGCGCCAGGTGCGCCTTGCGGCCGAAGCGGCGGGCGCAGAGCTCGCAGGCGAAGGGGCGCCCGGCGCGGTGACGCCGCCGGTGTGACGCCAGGTTCTTCTTCCAGCTGAAGCTCTTGCCGCACTCGGGGCAGGGGAAGGGCTTGGTCTCCGTGGCTGGCGGCACGGAGAGGGGTCCCAGAGAGGCACAGGGGGGTCCTGGAGAGGCAGGGGGTGCTGGTGATGCGGGGGGACCCAGCAGTGCGGTGGCAGGTCCCGGTGGCACCGGAGGGGGTCCCAGCAGCGCGGGGAGCTCCACCGGTGCAGCTGCAGGTCCTGGCAGCGCCGCGGGCGCTCCCGGCAGCGCGGGTCCCGGGGGTCCGGGGGCTCCCGGTTCATCGTGCAGCCGCTGGTGCCGCAGCAGGTGCTGCTTGTGGGCGAAGCGGCGGGCGCAGCGGGCGCAGGCGAAGGGCCGCTCGCCCGTGTGCGTGCGCCGGTGCCGCTCCACGTGGCTCTTCTTGCGGAAGCGGCGGCCGCAGTCGGCGCAGGGGAAGGGCCGCTCGCCCGTGTGCGTGCGCTGGTGCGCGCGCAGGTGGATCTGCTGGCGGAAGCGGCGGCCGCACTGCGCGCAGGGGAAGGGCCGCTCGCCCGTGTGCGTGCGCTCGTGCCGCGCCACGTGCGCCTTCTTGCCGAAGGCCTTGCCGCAGCGGGCGCAGGCGAAGGGGCGCTCGGCCGCCCGGCGCCCCGCGCCCGCCTGCGGCTCCAGCTCTGCCTGGGGGCAGCGGCCGGGGCCGTCGGGCCCCTCGGGCGGCGGGATGAACATGGGCAGCGCAAGGTAGCCCAGCGCCACCGCATCCTCCTCCTCCTCCTTGTGCTCCGGCTTGCAGGCGCTGGCGAAGGCAGCGGGCCTGCACGGCCACCCTTCCTCGTCCTCCTCCTCCTCCACCTTCACCACGCGGATGGGCCAGGGGGAGCCTGCGGGCGGGGGGGCCGTGAGCAGCGGTGCAGCCCCGCTCGGCTGCACGTGCATGCAGCGCATGCGGTGCCGCTCACCTGCACGGCCCAGCTCCGCGGCGCAGCGCGGCTCCTCCGCGGTGCCCGCGGCCGGCGCCTCCGCCTTGGGCACGAGCAGCCCCGCTGCGGGCGAGGTGGTGCTGGGGGCGGCCGCAGGCGCGGGCAT